ATACCTGTACTTTCTACTTCTCACATGTTGAACACAAATACCTGTACTTTCTACTTCTTACATGTTGAACTCAAATACCTGTACTTTCTACTTCTCACATTTTCCAAACAGGCTGGTTCCTTTAGTCTGAATGTGTGTTTGGTGGCGTGATCATTATTATTTAGAGTCATTGCGTGCCTATTGATTTGAACACGATCCGTGTATCCATCATTTCCTGGTCTTCTCTAAAGAAGAGGGACCAATGAAAACGTTGTCATGTTGCTGTTGTTCAGCATGGACACATTCATTAGCTAACAATGACATTATTGTTCTATTAATATAAAGGGAGGTCAGGTACTCTTTAAAACAGCTGCTAGTTATGGGTACTTTTTACTGAAGTACATTTCAAAGCCTCTTTACTTTGACTTGAGTAAAGAAGTTTAGTCAGTACTTCTACTTTCACCAGAGTATTTTTAAACACGAGTATCTGTACTTCTACTTGAGTAAAGGATGTGTGTACTTTTGCCATCTCTGGTCTGCAGGATGTTCTCACTCAGTGTGTGTTTTCTCTGTGTGTATGAGCAGGTGATCAAGCAGCTGATGAAGAAGGAGTTCACGCTGGAGTTCTCCAGAGACAGGAAGTCCATGTCCGTGTACTGCACCCCCAACAAGTCCCGCTCCTCCATGGGCAAGATGTTCGTCAAGGTAAACTCAGAGAAAAATATATGTTTCTTTAGATTAAGTGTTGAAGTATAAATGGAGCATACATTTGGTGTAAATACTGGTCTTTAGCATCCTTTTTCAATGCTGAATTGTTTCTTAAAAATACTATTTTTTAATTATCCTTATATATTTCTTTTTTACCTACAGTTCAACCATTTTTTTTAGATTGTTTATGTTCGCAGCACCAGATACCAAAGCAAATTCCTTGTATGTGTAAACGTACCTGGGACTAAACTTGATTCTGATTGTACCAGGTTACGTTTCTGCCAGATTTGTTAAACATTGCCCCCTCTTCTCTCTCTCAGGGCGCCCCAGAGGGAGTGATAGAGAGGTGCACGCACGTCAGAGTGGGAAACAGCAAAGTGCCGCTGACCAAAGGCATCAAGGATCAGATCCTGGCGACGATCAGAGACTACGGGACGGGGCGCGACACGCTGCGCTGCCTCGCCCTCGCCACCAGGGACACCCCCCCACGAGTGGAGGACATGAACCTCACTGAGACCGTCAAGTTCGCCCAGTACGAGGTCAGTGTGTGGGGATTCAATATTATGTAACGATAACCATTTTTCATCAACTGTTTTTTGCTTATATCCTTTTCTGTGTTTCTTGAATTCAATTTATTTATTATTGTTAATTTTTTTAAATGTTTAATACATTTTTTGAAGAAATACAAATGATGTTGAATGTAGGGTTATTGAAACCCTCACTCACTCATAACTAAACCCCTCTCCAGTCCGACCTGACCTTCGTGGGCTGCGTGGGCATGCTGGACCCCCCCCGACTGGAAGTGGCCGCGTCCATCAAGCTGTGCCGGCAGGCGGGGATCCGCGTCATCATGATCACCGGAGACAACAAGGGCACCGCCGTCGCCATCTGCCGCCGCATCGGCATCTTCGGGGAGGAGGACGACGTGGAGGCGTTGGCATTCACCGGGCGCGAGTTTGACGAGCTGTCGCCGGCCGAGCAGGTCGACGCCGTCACCAACGCTCGATGCTTCGCTCGCGTAGAGCCGTCGCACAAGAGCAAGATCGTGGAGATCCTTCAGGGCATGGACGAAATCACCGCCATGGTACGGAGACTAGGGGCTGATGGACACATTACTTTAGACAAGACGATGAAAGAATATCTTTTATATATTTTTAGAATCAGAAATCCTTTATTTGTCCCGCAACGGGGGAAATGTACATGATTACAACAGCAAAATGTATAAAGGAATTGCTCAGTATGCACACGTTATTAAACACAATAACTAAAAAACGGAAACGGTGGTCAAAAAAGTAACAATATAATTTTTGTTTTAGAAAAGTGACAAGAAATTAATTTGAAAATAAATGGGAAATTGCAGGAGGGTTAATTGCATAAAGTTGTATTTATATATATCCTTGAATTGTACTCTAGTAGAAGTATTAAGTAGCAGACAATTACTTGTATTTAAATACTCAGCTAACTTACTTTAAAGTTGTACTTGAGTTAATGAACTTAATTACTGCTCCTTTGGAATATGAATAGCATTTTTAATTAGGTAAAGGTCTTTTATTTTTATTCCCAGCCAAGCTTTACTTGGGATAAATAATTATGAAAGGTGCTATAACAAATAAAGCTTATTATTATTTGTTTAATTTCAGAGGCCAATATTGTACTTTCTACTACATTGAATTTATTTGACAGCTCTAGTTACTTATTCTCAATTATGACATGATGCAAACGCCTTTTAGTTTATTTTTCTTACTCAAGGAATCTGTTTTTTGACATGATTAACTAAGAAAGAATAATCCTTAAGTAAAAACAACTGAGCAGGAAACAATATGGTTAGCATTAACAGATCTCAACATGCTTTCAAACCTTTGCATATCATTAGAAACGCCACGAAATGTGTGTGTTTTACCTCGAGTTAATATCTAAAATGTCCCTCCTCAGACGGGCGATGGAGTGAACGACGCTCCGGCTCTGAAGAAGGCGGAGATCGGGATCGCGATGGGTTCAGGGACCGCCGTCGCCAAGTCGGCCTCAGAGATGGTTCTCGCCGACGACAACTTCTCGTCCATCGTGGCGGCCGTGGAGGAGGGCCGAGCGATTTATAACAACATGAAGCAGTTCATCAGATACCTCATCTCCTCCAACGTGGGCGAGGTCGTCTGGTGAGCGTCTGGTTTTACTTTAGAGTCTGTTTGCTGCTCATAGAGTCCAGTGACATTTTGATACCCCAAAGTTTTATGCTAGCAATGTAAAGTAGGGGTCCACAGAACAGAGAAACTGCCAGATGCTAACCTGCATATGTTGGGACATTTGCAGAATTAGCATTAGTTGCATTAGTTAGCATTATAGCCTTTGTTGACAATAGTTCGTTCTGGAGTGGTTTTGAGGAGGCCGAATGCTTTTCTGACATTATCAGGATCCAAAATAGCAGAAGCAGAAAGAGGACATATTTGTGCTCTCTTTGGGCTGATTTTGAATAATTTTGGGTCGATTTTGAAGTTTTAGGGGACATTTGGATTGGACAGATTGCTTATTTGAAGATAAATTGCCCACAGTAGAGGTTATAATGTTCATCTTATGCTATTTTTATCCAATGGTCGCAACACCATAACATTAATGGCACATTTCCACTGCAGCGGGGTAGCCCCGTTTAAGCGTCCCTAAGCGTCCTCGCTCAGGCCTGCCTCGCTGGCCGTCCGAGGCCGTGGCGCATTTCCATTACAGTTTAGGACCTGGGGTAGCAACGCAGTGTAGGCGGGGCATCTGTGCAGAGACATCCTGGAACACTTCCACATTTCGAGTTGTTCCGTCGAGCTCCCGCTGGATTTTATCATCCCCAATGAGATGTAGGAACGTCGTCACCTCCTCGGTCGACCACGGTGTGCTTTTCTTTGACGTTGCCATTTTTGTAGCTCCTCCGTTTACAAAAATGCTGTGTATAAAAATGCTGCAAGCTTGCTTCTAGATATATATGCGACGCTAGGGATGATCTCGCGCGCGATCTTGTGACGATTCTCTCTGACCAATCAGCAGTCGAGAGTGTTGACGTCACTAGTTCAGCCCTGGCCGTGAAAGAACCACGATTTTATGGGGCTGGAAAAATAGGGAAAAAGTACCCGCTAGCCGGTGCTACGCTATATGGAAAGGCCACCAAAAACTGGCCTGGCCGCTTGAGGAAGATTAAGGGCGCTTAAACGGGGCTACCCGCTGGAAATGCGCCATAAGACCAACAAAATGTAAGCCTGGAACCAGCCACACCTCCTCCAAGGTCACATTTTCTGTCCATTTCTGCTCAATTTTGCTCTAAAAAGTTTCCTGAATCCTTCCTTAACTAGGCCTCATGCTAAAATAATTCAGGCACACTAAGGATTTCACCAGGAATATTTTGAAACCGCTGCTATATTAACCTAAGTCTGGCTCCAGTGTTTCTAAACTTTCTAAATGTAGTCCTTCCTCATCTCTGTTAGCATCTTCCTGACGGTGGCTCTGGGCTCTGATTCTGATTAGATGGATAGATAGATAGATAGATAGATGGATGGATGGATGGATGGATGGATGGAGGGTGGGTGGGTAGGTAAGTAGGTAGAGGATGAATGTGTATTTCAGTCTTCGGTATATCCAGTGTTTCTAACTGTCCCCCCCTCTCTCTTAGCATCTTCCTGACGGCGGCGCTGGGCTTCCCAGAGGCTCTGATCCCCGTGCAGCTGCTCTGGGTGAACCTGGTGACGGACGGCCTGCCAGCAACCGCGCTGGGCTTCAACCCCCCCGACCTGGACATCATGGAGAAGCCCCCCCGCAACGCCAAGGAGGCGCTGATCTCCGGATGGCTTTTCTTCAGATACCTCGCCATCGGATGTGAGTTTAGAAGGGATAACGTTAATAATAAAAAATATATGTATGTGTGTGTGTATGTTATAGCCCAACATTAGCCTCCTTTAGCTTAGCGGTGGAGACGTGAAGTCATGTGACCATGCTGTAGTTC